TTTGTAGCGTGGAGCACACAGGACTAGCCTGTGTTTTCCTTCAGCTGCAGCTCAGTGTTAATAAACAGGCCAGGCTTTAATTACACCAAAAAGTTGAGCCTCGTTTATAACATGACTCATTTTCTGTCTATGACTATGTTTTGGTTTATCAAACCCAGTCAATTTGTGAAAATAGATATACTGTTGGTATCACAGCTGTTTGTGCTTGGCTAACTAGCCTTAAAATATTTTTGATAATTACATATGTACTTACAGGTTTAGGATTGGCTGCCTCTTTGGCCTTTTCAGGAAACAATATGTAACTTAAGGGGATTGAAAAATACATATGATGCCTGGTGCACGTAACAAGAAAGAGGATAGTGTTGTTTCTGTTTTTGCAGTAACTTAGACGAATTGTGGAAAGAAAAGAATTACTTTATATTATGGCGTTGGGTCACAGGAGAAACATTGCTTCTGAGAGCAGATGCTGAATGTCAGTGCTGCCTCTCTTACATTCCCATCAGAGACTTGGTGGCAGAAAATAGTCTTGAAGGATTGAAAGTGTTTTTAATGTTAAAAAAAAGAAGCTGAATGACAGCTACATCCTGTACCATCTGACACGTCTCAGTCCTGACCCATGCTTAGTGAAGGGATACATGATGCTTGCAATCATCATCCTGCTTTACCCTTTTGTTTTCCTTACTTTCCTTTAAGACAAAAGACATAATTCAGAACTTCTAGGAAAGTCTTCCGGAGCAGAATTCAGCATGCATTTAATCCTTATTTTGTTAGCCATGTCTTGAGAGATAAGTGACTGACTTTCTCCTTGCCAAAGCCTGCTTTGATGCCTGACTTACTGTCTCTCTGCTAAACAAAAGTCTTAACATCCTATTTTAAGGGAGGGCAATTTTAAGTGAGGTACTGCGATGCCATTTCTGATATCAAAATCACTTTATAATTATAGCTCTATACTGTATTAAGACTGATTACAGTTGAATACAATGTTCATATGCCATGATGAGTATGGAATGACTTCAGCATGCCTGTAGCCATGGGACTCCATTGAATAATTTTTACTCTAGTGAGTTTTTTTTTAAAAAAAATTCTAGTCACTAGAGGACATGAAGGATAGAGTGAGGGTTTGAATCACAGAACATCAGCCAAAGGTTTATCTCAGGAGGCAAAAGCCTTTATTTCAGAGTTTTTCAACCCTTTTTATAAGGTGTTTCGATACAGGTTATCCTGATTGGTAGAAGGAACATGTCCCTCATCCCATTGCTGGGACAAGAGAAACACTCAGAAGATCTGTGTATTTTTTCTGGGAAAGTAAACCCTTGTTTTGACAACAGTCTTTGAGAGAAATCCCCTAAATACTTTCCCTTGGGAACAGATCAGCCCCTGAGAGCTTGAAACTCTCTCAGGTTCAGAAAATGATGTCCACAATTCTTCCCAGTTCTTTCTTGTCATCAAATCTGAGATGTTAAACTGGTGATAACAATTATTTTCTGAAAGTTGTCTATTATTGAAAAAGTCAGAATCAGTAAGGGTTGAATATTCAGCTTGTGTGGAATAATACCATCTGCAATGTAATTGTGTCAGAATAGCAGAATGTGCATAGCTGTCTTGGATTCTGCCAAGTTGCTCTTTCTTTCTAAAAAAGCTAAGATCCAACATATAAGAACAATCTCCCAGTAAGTTGTTCCCTGGAATACCTCTGAAAACATTCCAGAGTAAAGGAAATAATTTTGAGCCCTAGGAAGTGTCAGTCTTGAAAAGAGGAGGGAAGGTTTTGTCACTTTGTAAGTGGTCAAAATGGCCTTGTGAAGGAAGCTTGTGCTGACAGCATGCTTGGGACAGCAGAGCTCCAGCGGGAGCTTGTGCCAGACAGCTGTTTATAGCCATAGTCCTGGATCAATGTCTAATGTTACTCCCTTTCATTTTTTCATTGCATAATAAATACTCCAGCAACAGCCTGGGCCTTATTAAGAAGGTGAATTCAATATTCATGATTATGGGAAGACTAGGAGCAAGTTAAGTACGTGGTCTTAGGCTGAATTTGGGTTATCTGTTTGATACAGGGGATTTTTCTGTTGAAATAAGGATGTCCAGAAAAGGGCAACAAGGCTGGTGAAGGGTCTGGAACACAAGCCCTGTAAAGAATGGCTGAGGGAACTGTAGTTGTTTAGCCTGGAGAAAAGGATGCTCAGGGGAGACCTTACCACTACAACACCCTGGAAGGAGGTTTTAGTCATGTGGGGGTTAGTCTCTTCTCCCAGGCAACAACTGACAGAATGAGAGGACACAGATGTGCATGGGGAAGTTTAGGTTAGATATCAGATAAAAATTCTTCACTTGAAGAGTGACTGGGCACTGGAATGGGCTGCCCAGGAAGGTGGTGGAGTCACTGTCCCTGGACATGTTTAAAAAAAGGCTGGACATGGCACTCAGGGCCATGGTTTAGTTGATGAGGTGGTGTTAGGTCATAAGTTGGACTTGATGATCTCAAAGGTCTTTTCTAGCCTAGTTCATTCTGTGATTCTGTGATCTGTCTATGAGTACATTATCTGAGTTTAGTCCATGGACCCAATCAATCAATGCTGTTTTAGAATAATTTTTTATGGAGTTAGCTTGTGTCTAGTATGGTGGGGAAAATTACACAATTATATATTACAGCCAGACAGACATGTGCTTTATTGTTAGACAGTGTGATGTATGGCAAGGGAATGAGTGGGCTGACTTGAATATTCATTGTGGGCTTTCATGCCTGTGAACCTGGGCAGAACACTTCCGTGGGTTTCTGTGTGCCCTGTCAACACCATGGCATAGGATTCTACTGTTTTCTACAAGTCACTACCCTACCCACCTTCATCATTGTGTGTTCAATAGGTAGGAACCTGGGGAAATTCTTCTATATATTAAACACAAGTAATCTTTCATAAATGCAACATCCTCTACTTGCTTTGCCACTACTGTGAGTGACCTTCTGGACAGAGAAAACTCTTCCAATTTAGAATTTTTTTTTTTACTGAACTGTGTCTTGTTTTAGGATGTTTGTAAGCATCATTTGTACCTGGAATGCCCTGATATAATAGAAAAAATACTGAGCAAATGCTTTTGAAGATAAAGATTGCAAAAAAGGGCATCTTCATGTCCTTGAACATCGGAGTATTCTTATCCAGGAAATGTGAGAAGTGATCAGTATGCTATTTAATTCTGACTAGTAAATTAAAAAGACCAAGCAATCCCATCAAATGACTACAAGGTAAAATAATAAATAAATTTAAGTTAGAAATGTTCAGATCAATTTTGCTGCTTTTTTTGTTTTGTTTTGTTTTTTCCTCAGACTAATTTATGTTGGTTGTTTGGAGTATTTTGAATGCAAAATGCTTTCTACACATGTGTGAACTGTATTTTTTGAGTTCATTTTTCAAACCAGATGTGCATTAACCTTTACTAAAAAGAAATCCTCATTTTCTTGGTTTGAACAGTGTGAAATTCTAACCTTGTTCACCTGCCTTCTGTAACCTGCTCTGTGGGGTTGATTTTGGTGGGGTTATGTCCATCAGAGATTTGCACTAACCTTGCTGTAGAGAATATCCTTGCAGACCAAGGACACGATATTTTATTCAAAGCTTGTTTGTACAACCCAGCTTACAGCCCCAGGGGCAGTACCCTTCAAGTCTCTGTAAAGAATGAAAATTAAGAAGAAGATGATAAGCAGGATGAACTAGCCAGCAGTTTTGTTTAAGCTGCATGAACCCTGAAAAAAACATATAAGAATGTACTGAGTTATTGGAGTCTGAGGCACAGAGTGCATGCCCTTATTTCTGATACCTGGCTCTGACATCCAAGAAAACACTGAATTTCATATAACACCATGAGAACAACTGTTAAACAGAAAAGCTAAGAGTGTGAGTGTGTAAATTAGAGAGTTTTCTTAAGTCACTGGGTGAAAAAGCTAACGTATGGAGTTTAAACTAGTTTAGAGAACAGAAGACAAGATGGAGGATTTAGGGTGTTGTCTCTTGTCCTTCTTTCTTCTTCATCTTCTTCTTCTAGAGGATTTTGGGTAGTAATAAGTGATTTGATAGAGAAACTGCAGTGCAGCACACAGGGTTTTGGTCATTGGGTCACTAAAAAAATTAATTTATGTGTCTATTGTTAATTGGGTGAAAATGAGTATAAAGATAAAAGAGCTTTGTATTTCAAGGCCGTTTTACACCATTTGAGCCAATTTGAGCCAGTTGATGGTGGGTTGAACTTGAGCAGAAAGTCTGGGGAGGACTGCCAAGTCTGTTGATAATATGTTAATAAACACTGTTGCACTCTGAGACACAGAGTTTGTGCCCTTGTCTCTGATTCCTGACTCTGAGATCCAGGAGAACACTGAATTTCATACAACATGAAATTTCTCAGCATGTTTTCATGGTGTTACATGAAAACAACTGTTAAAACTAGATAGAAAAGCTAAAAGTATGAGTGTAGATTAGAGAGTTTTCTTAAGTCACTGGGTGGAAAAGTTAGTGTAGAGCTTAAGCTAGTTTAGAGAGCAGAAGACAAAATGGAGGATTTAGGGTGTTGTCTCTTTTCCTTCTTCTTTCTTCTTCATGTTCTTCTAGAAGATTTTAGGTAATAGTAGGTGATTGGATAAAAAATGTCACAGTGTAACACACAGGTGATGGATCATTGGGTCATTAAGAAAAATAATATACGTGTCTATTGTTAGTTGGATAAGCATAAAGATACAAAAAGCTACATGGTTTGGGGCCATTTTGTGCTATCCGAGCCAAAATGTGCCAGATTGCAGTGAATTAAACTTGTGCAGAAAGTCTGAGAAAACTGCCAAGTTTTGTGGTAACATCCTAATAAACACAAGAAGTAAGATCCTAACAGGCTTTGGAGCTTTCTTCCTGACCTGAAGAACTGAGATAAGCAGAACTCCCTTTGAGGGAATATTCTGAAGGAGCCCAGCTCAGAGGAGACTGGGAAATCCACGTATGAGAAGAAATAAAGCAAGTATCAAAAGAGAGAAAAAAAACAGATTAAAAAAGTTTCAAACACAAGAAACAAAAGCCTAACGAGCATTTAGAGTATTTTTCCTGACACAGAACTAAGATAATTGAAACTCCCTGTGGAGGAGGATTCCAAGAGAACTCGGCCCTGGAAAGATCAAGATCCCGCATCAAGTGGTGCTCCGTGTGTGTGTGTGTCAGTAAGAGCTCAAAGAAGACTCGATCAACACCTGCCTGGACCAGAGCAGCTGGTTCCTGAAAGAAAGATGTCCGGACAAATATATCTGCTATCAACTTCCAGAGTTCCAAGGGCCCAGGACTTGGAAACATCGGATTCTGCTGGTCAGTAATCCACAGAGATAGCCACCGGGTCTGGTAAGCTCTGTCCAACTTAAGAAATGGGATCGAATATCTCTAAGGAAGAACAGGCAATTTTACAGAAATTAGAAAAAATAACAGAGCAGTCCTTATATAAAATTCCGAGGAAAGAGCTGGAATTTCTACTGCTCTGGATAAAAGAAAATTACCCCACCATAGGCGCGGAGCAATTGTTTGAGCCCTGTATATGGGCAAATGCAAATATGAGGTTAAAAGAGTTATATAACCCGGGAAAATGGGGGCATGGAAATATGATAGAGACAAGTAATAGTCTCTTTAATGTAATCTATCGGTATCATTTTCCAAAATTGCCTTCCCAGGAGGGTGGGACGGGAGGAGAGGAAACCCAGCCACCCAGACCGAACTGCCCTTTCCGAAACCGTGGAAAACTCCAAAATCCCTCAGCGGCGCGGAATTCCCTGCCCCCAAACCTTCAGAGGACATGGCGGAGGAGGGAGGGGCGCGGGGGAAAACTGAAAAGGCGGAGGGTATCGCAATTAGTACAGAAAGCAAAGTGAGCAGTTTGCAAGAATATTTAAGAATACGAGGTCTCATGGGGAAGCATGATAAACTGGACCGAGTATTTCTACAATTTTTATGGTCCATGCAAACCCCTATGAGGGGGGGAGAAAAGGTTAGAAAAAACCTGCGCTGTTTTTGAAACCACACCCTCAGAAAAACCCCTTTCCCTGTCTTCCCCAAGTACGTCAGAGGAGCCAGAGAGAGGGACAGCAGGACCCAGACGCCGCCCTCTGATGAAACTGACCGCCTACAGATGATGTCAGAAAAGGCTAGTACAGAAAGGTCTTCCCAGCAGGCAGACCCAAAAGCTCCCCAAGAGGCAGGGCCAGAGGCTGCCCAAGAGGCGGAGCCACAAAATGCGGATACGGTGGAACAGCTGGACCATGAAGCATTGCAAACCCCACCCAAAAGGGGGAGTTCGGGGCAGTGCCAAAAAGCCTTCCCCGTCGCGCAGCAAAAGCAACTAAGGGGCTGGCCAAAATCGCTAAGCCACGCCCTGCTGCTGGACCAATGACACTATCGATGACACGGAGGCCCCAGCCCACCGAGGCGGAGGCTGGCACTGCCCCCCGTCAAGCCGCGCATGCACCTTCTCTCATTCGTGTCGATGTTACGCAATCCGTGTGTGAAAATAACCTGGAAATGGGGAAAATAGTTACGATTCCTGTTCAGAGTCCAGTTTCTGGCACAAGCAGCATTCACCTTAAAAGGGTTTTATCTCCTAAAAAGGAGTTTCTCCCTAAATATAGGCTTTTAGAACTTTTTTCTCAGGTTCATATCCAGTCTTAATTACAGGTGACTATAAAATCGGACAAAAGAGCTGATTTGTGGAGCAACAGCGCCACCTTGTGGGCAAACTTCATCACCACAGCCTTCAACTTCTACATTTGTAAGTCAGCATGTATCAGATGACAACATAATATCTATCACTGCTGGTGAAGGGATTCCTCTGTCATCGATTCAAATACCAGATTTTCTGCTTCAAGACGATATTTCAGCTTTTCAAAAGACTGCTCCAAAGGACTGGTTCTTAGGACAGCACATCTCTTCTTTGACAAGATTACAATTTTCTCCACTTCTTCAAGACTTAATGGATGCTGTGTGCAGCCAAAATCCACAACCAGTGGGTTTTTCTACCATACCTACAGCTCCTCAACAACCAAAGCTACAATCTATATCAATTCTCCCTCAAAGAGAAGGGGGAGGACCTGATATGCAGGTACGTTTCAAGAAAGGAGGTGATGCTTTCAGAAAAATTGAGGACATTACTGTGCTGCCAGTGAGGCTTCGAAGAAGAGATAATGTTCCTAGATGGGAGCCTGTGGATCATTTGCTTTTAAAGGATTTATTGGATGCTGTGGAAAGAAAAGGACTTGGTTCTCCATATTTTAAACAGTTATTAAAAGGTCTTTTCCGCAGTCATGAAATGTTGCCATATGTCTGCAAATATATAGCCTCAACAATTTTCACAGATTTGCAATATATACTGTGGAGTTCAAGATGGAGAAAAGCTCTCCTTGAACTGAGCAACAAATATGCCAGGGGACCATGTGCAGACATCACAGGGGCTCAAATGGCAAGAGACGTGCCGCATCATAAGCCAGAAACTCAAATAGTAGACCTGCCTGCAGAAGTGCTTCAAGATGTTGTAGAAGCAGCTGAGCAGCAGTTTCAGCAAATAGCAGGCATGAACCTGTGGATTTGGGACATGTCAACACGAAGTCCAGCATCCCTGGGCTGCTTTCCACAAAATAGCTGAAAGGCAGAAATCAAGCAACAAGAAGCCATGTTTCAGATGTGGGAAACATGGACACAGAAAAAAATGTGCCTTCAGAGCACAGAGCCTTCAGGAAACACAAAAGCACCAGGTCTTTGCCTAAGATACAGAGGAGGAAGACATTATGCAAGCCAATGTCACTCAAAAAGAGATGCAGATTGAAAACTCCTACCCCTTCCAGGGAATGGGAAGAGAAGTACACAAGTAATGACAGTGACTCAGCAATCCGACATCCCTCAAGGAACACAATCTGTGGGGAGCTCCAATCAAACTCCATCTGCAGAACCATCTACAGCTTCCCAAGCAATCGAGAACTGATAACCCTAAGAATTCTTTGACCTTATATGTCATCCAAAAGATGTATTTTCCATCCTAAAGCATCAAGGAATGAGAACCCTTGCGAAGATACCATTGAAAAGTCCTTATTCAAAGACCAGAGAACAGCCATCAGTGATGAACGTGCATCACTCTTTGACGTACTAATAGGAGAAGGCAACATTGAATCTCCTGGAACCTTCACACCTGAAGCTCAGGAGGTCCTTAAGAAGGTCATTGAAGGTCTTCAGAAGAGATAGGTGCATTGTTGTGCTGTGCCACAACCATTCTTTCTTACAGTGCTAAAAAGAAACATGCAACTATGGTCTCATATCTCAATGAGATACCTCAAAGAAAAATTGATTGTTAATAATAGAATGGATTTTTTCCCCACAGGTCCTTCAGAAACAATTTTCACAATAATAAAAAGAATAATACAAACCATATTTGAGGCGAAAATTAAATGGTCGACAATAACAGGCAAAAATCTTGTAATAATTTATCTACCTTTAAAAAAAAGGACATTTTAATTAGGCAATGTAAAAATCAAAAGCACTGTAAGTTGCATTGCTGGCTAATCTGCAAATTGTTGTAGTCATAATTAAGCTTCAGAGAGAAACCCTTATTGAATGAAGCATCTTCAAAAATAAATAAAAAAGTTTATAGGTACTGCATAATAGAATACATATAGATATTGCATTTTTGATAATATCTGCTGGTTTTGCTTTTATAAATAACATGAAAAATTATGATAGTTATTCATCACAAGAAATTTAAAGTATTCTTGCTTTGCTTCAATATTCTCAATGCATGAAATTTTAAAAATGTTATCTTCTCTATTAATCTACTGCTAGTGTAGCACTGTATAATATAAAGTTATATAAAGAAATATTATATATATATAAGGTGATCGCCAAGTATTACTGATGTAATTACAACTTCTGCAAAATGCATTTCCTTAAAATTGAATTGAGAGATTACATAGTTAACCATGAGCAGGTTTTTTTCATTCTTTAATCTTTTCCTTCTTTCAAATAAGTATATTATAGATTTAATTCAACACAGTTTTCAGTACTTTCAAAGTTAAACTGAAAAAGATCCAAATAACAGATAATTGATTAAATTCTAATTGTTAGGAATTTTGTTTAAGAAAAGTAAGCTAAGGGCATCCCTCCAGTTTGAAGCTGAGGCCCTGGCCAAGCCTCAACTTTAGCTGGATGGAGAATTTACCAATAAACCCAGATGTTTTCTGCATCAAAACAATATTCAAATCAGTCAATAAATTAATATAGCACTGGATCTTTACAGTGAGCTTGGAGAATTGTTATCTGGACATAATTTTCCAATCTGTCACTGATTTATCAGCTGTTGCAGACTCTGGGATGATAGTACATTTTATACATATACAATCAATCTATACTATAGATTATTCAGATCTTATAATATCGCATAATATCAATTATGCATCTTAACAAGTTCTTGATTGCTGTAAAAGTGTTATATACTATATGTATACATGTACATGTGTTCTACTTTGATGGTTTTTCATGTTCAAAACGAGAAAACAGATACCTTTAATTACAAAAAAATAAGGGGAAACAGATGCTATGCCTCAGAAGCATAAAAACCTTATATATTTTAAATTTTATGAAAAAGCGTAAAAATCTTATCTATATTGCAAATTTTCTGAACGGCTCTTTCTGAACAGTTCTTTTACAAAACCAAGTCTGCCAATTATCAGGTATTCTTCTAATGGTACTCAAGTGAAATTGGGAGAAAATCCTTTGGTTTTGATTAGAAATTTAGAGTCAGCACGGATTGAAGGTCCATTTCAACTAATCACCTGGGGAAAAGGGTATGCTTGTGTCTCCACAGGTTCAAGGACCGAAGTGAGTTCCCGCAAAGCATGTGAAACCATATCAAGCTGAGAAGCAAGCAGACGGAGACCCCGGAAACCGAGAAGCAAGCACACAGATGTGATCCAGCATGAAGACAGCATCTGGCAGCTTGAACATCAGACAACCTGCATGTGGAAATTTGTGGACTGGGAACTCTGTGAGGGAGGGTTGTTCAGACATCTGAGAATTCTTATGAAAGATGGGGCTGTTGAACAAGAAGATCAATCAGTTATTGTATTAGTGCCTTGTCCTTTCTTTGGTTGCCTTAGGCAACACAGTTTTGCCCATGAATCAGTCAAGGGAAATTGTCTGGAGAGCTCTGGCCAATGTGTCAGGTGTAGACATCATCTGTTCAACTCATTCATAGTTAAGGAAAGTGGTTTTTTTTGGCAAAGAGAAGGGGGAGATGTTGGAGTCTGAGGCACAGAGTGCATGCCCTTATTTCTGATACCTGGCTCTGACATCCAAGTTGTCCTTCTTTCTTCTTCATCTTCTTCTTCTAGAGGATTTTGGGTAGTAATAAGTGATTTGATAGAGAAACTGCAGTGCAGCACACAGGGTTTTGGTCATTGGGTCACTAAAAAAATTAATTAATTTTTAATAAAAACTGGGTGAAAATGAGTATAAAGATAAAAGAGCTTTGTATTTCAAGGCCGTTTTACATCATTTGAGCCAATTTGAGCCAGTTGATGGTGGATTGAACTTGAGCAGAAAGTCTGGGGAGGACTGCCAAGTCTTTTGATAATATATTAATAAACACAAGAAACAAAAGCCTAACGAGCATTTAGAGTATTTTTCCTGACACAGAACTAAGATAAGTGAAACTCCCCATGGAGGAGGATTCCAAGAGAACTCAGCCCTGAAGAGACCGAGATCCCGCATCAATTTTTCACTGAAAACAACTTGCAGTGCATAGGTTGCTGGCTGAGCTAGTGATGGCAAGAGGTCCATGAGTGCCCAAGGCCCTCATTTCAGGCAAGAGTGTTCCTGAAGTACTCAATCACTTCATCCAGATGTAATAAGGCTCTAAAACATAAAATTAATGATAAGATTCCAAGTCAACATCAGCATACTTCTTTCACTGAGGCAAATCCTCAATTCTGTTATGCTTTTATCATTAAGAGAGTGTTGTTTCTTTTGTCCAGAAAAGCTGCAGAGGCTTGGTGTAAACTAGATGCCAGGGAAAGCTACATGTAGTCTTCCCATCTGTAACAGCACTTCCTTTTTCAATCCTAGTACTTCTTCAGAGTCTAATGTAGCCTTTCTGACTCAAAAATACGTGTTTTATTTCTTATTTCAACTACTGTATTGAATGCATCTTCCATCATTTAACATTTGAGTATTTTTGCGTATTTGAGTATTCTAGCATATGAATAGCTCCAGAGACTGCTTGTTGAATCGGATCAGGGCTTACAATAAGAAATCTGTCAAGAAAACAGGTTTAGTGATAATTTAAATATTGTACTCAGATACAAATGTGAATCCTCTCAATATTATGCATTGATTTAGAACAAATTGAATGATAATTTTTTCTTTTCTCCTATTTAGCACTGTATCCTATAAAAGGAATTCTTAATACCCCCATTACATGACTTTAGTGCCTGCATCCTTTCAAACCCTGGGGCTGAAAACAGTCTTGCTTCTGGACTGCCCTTTGCTTCCTTGTCCTGTAATTATTTTGGCAATTCTACCACTTAAGAGAGGACTTAGTCTTTTATGCGAGTCCCTGGTGTTTTGAAAGAAGGCTCAAGAGCTGTATGCTAAAAATTACAGCTGTAACACTGGATGAACATACTTACAGACATGTATCATTGAACCAGAAATATGAAAAATTCCACATACTCCAGGCTTCTTTGATTCATTTCTTTTCAGAGTATGTATCATTTCATACTTGAATCTACATGGGGACAGTCAACCAAATAGGCTACACTGCTTCACAGCTGAATTACTTCATTTTAATGGGAATCACCTGTGACTACAGAGGCAAGGTGTTTGCTTAGCATTTAGTATTTCAGACTGAGTATTTTGTCCCTCTACTGTGTTCCTCTATTGCTCTCCCCCAGCAAAAGGCAAGAATAGATAAAAAGACTATATACTAGATAAAAAGACTTCTTCTGTGTGTCAGTGGGAGTTTTCTGGATGGTGCACATTAGCTCTCCCTTTTCACACATGGCTGGCTGATGGCATTAGCTATATAGATATGTAAGTGATATTCCACTGTAGAAAATTTTTGCCCCATGCAGATTTTCTAAATGTATGGCCCCACCAGCATGTCTCTCCTGATTTATCAGTTTCTTCTGTAACTGCTCTTGCTATTATTCAACCCTTCACTATTATAACCTTTATTTTTATGTGAGGAGAAAAAGAATGGTTTCTCTTCCTCTGTCTGGCAGAAACTGTTGGAATAGTCTCTTTCCTATGTAACTCTGTGCCTGACAGCTGCTGGGTTTCTATTATGGTTTTGCTGGGGCATAGTTAGTTTAAAAGGTTGGTGGTGATGTGGTTTTATTGAGTGGTGGAGGTATAAGTACGTGGTTTTTGAGAGACTGTGGTAAGCCTTGATGTGATTATTTCTTTCAGCAGATTATTTCTTGGTTATCTTTGTGGAATTATTTTTCATACTTCAAGAATATCCCCACAAACTACACAATTCCTGGACAAGAAAGGTGAGTCTTACAGTGAATGCGGATACTTGTTTTTCCAAACACTGCACTAAAACTTGCTGGTATTATTTTTCTATGCCTATGTATGGTGTATCCCATCTATTCCATCTCTTCTTGTGACTCCAATATAACAGTTTGGTTCTGTAAAAAAAATGAAACAGGTATGTCAGGGTGCTGTCTCATGCTGATAAACTTCATCTTGACAATGTTGCAGGTAACAGAAATAGGTTTTGCATTCAAAAGTCAGAGGACGTATAACTACAAAGCTCTGTGATACTTTGCTCCATTGCAAGTTGTTTTTTTGAATGATGCTGCTGTTGTATTGAACAATACAAGCTTGCAATCATTGCTGGTCTGTTTATTGTGTGTCTGCAGTATTAATTTTCACATGTTGAAGCTTTTCTCTATGCATCTTGTGCTCATGCAGAATTTAAGTCTTTTTTTGGATTTTAGGCAGGTAAGTCCTATAAAATAGCCTCATGCTTAAATATGAAGGCCAAATCCTAGAACTGTTTTTCACCTAAAATCAGCAATGCAAAACCTGTAGTCCTTATTCAGTGAAAGAATTGCTTATTTGAGTCTGAATCCAGCTCTGTGTTAGTTACTTTCCTTCAGTGGATGTACATCCCCTCCTTTCTCCCTTCCAAAGGAAATCTAACAGCTTGTTCCAGAGACTGTGAAATACTGACAAGTTTCAAAACTAAAGTAAGCCTTTCTGACAAAGTCACTCAAAGTGTAGATGTATTTCTATAGCATTCTCTGAAACCAGCCAGCTCTGTGCCACAAAAACTGCCTGTATGAAATAAATGAGACATTTCCCGAAGTGCTATCTATGAATGTGCATTAATGTTGGAGACTGCAGAGCCTGCACCTCGGACTTACTCATATATTTCAGAAAAATAGTGCAAATGTCAGCCTGTGAGGCTGCAAGTATTTTCTTTCTCCTATGAATCCCACACTGATGGTCATCCATGATGCGATTCTTGGGGTTGTCCTATGTAGGACCAGCACTTGGACTTTGATCATCTTTGTGGTTCCCTTCCAACACAGGATATTCTGTGATTCTCTGGAAAGAGATAAGGAACTGTGGTGGGAAGGACCTTCTTGTACCTGACTCTGTGTTGGTTCTGTAGGAGCACATGCATCCAGTTTTAAAGTTTTGATGGAGGATTTGGACTAGGTGATCAAAAAGGCAGGAGTTTTATTTTAAGAGGTAAAAATGAAGTGTGATCGTTACATGCCTGACATCACTCAAATGCCTGTGTAGCAATGTATCTGAATAACTTAGGCCATATTGTGCTCCAGCCAAACCATCTGTAGAACTTCTTATCATGCCCTCTGGAATTCCTCAAGGTTACTGAGACATAAATTGTTCTAAAAGAAGAAAGAAGAGGCTGAGAAACAGAAAAACAAGACCACAAGAGCCAGATAACAGGGGGTGGTCAAACACCTGGACTGTGACCAATTACCAATCCTGAGGAGTGCATGCTGAATGCGTGGACAGAATAGAGGCACCAATCGAGAAATGCATGATCGGTGTGTGCAATAGTTTTAGAATATATAAATAAGTGCATAGTGTTATCAATAAACGGCTTCTGTGTAATCAGATTGGTTCATTGTTCAGAGGTCCTGAGCTCCCGCATGCCTGTATCTAACAGAGTCATAGAATTGTTTAGGTTGGAAGGGACCTTTAAAGCTGATCTAGTTTCATCCCCCTGCCATGGCAAGGGACATGGTGGACTGATCTAGGTCAGGTTGCTCAGTGATAACATCTTTTGTGTGTGAACTGTCTACCCATAGTTCAGGCTTATGGTGATGTGGGAAGGACACAGAGCATTTACCTTGTGATTCTTGGCCTTGGCTGTGGGACCTGTACACCTCAGGCATTTTAAACTGTCCTGGGATGAAATCAGTTGCAAGTTAAAGGTTTGCAAGTGCTGATATCTGCTGCCTTATAGGTGTTTTGGAAATTTTATTTAGAGATCGTATACCCATTGTCTTCTAGTGCTGCAATAGTGATAGTTCTGGCATGGCATAATTTAATCATGCTGATCCATTGGTTGATCCATTGCATTTTCAAAGCTATCAAAATAGCCTCATTTTGGAGATTCCCTACCTCAGCCATATTATTACTTAGTTCACTCACCCTGTCCTTGTTGACTTTAAAAGACTAGATTCAGAGTTTCCATTAGGAAGGGAAATTCTGCCAGAAAATACTTTAATTCTGCTGGTGAATGAACAGTTCATTGAACTTTGAAATTATTCATAGCATTCAAGAGCCTGGGGCAATCAAAATAGTTGAGGTTGCAAATGGCCTCCAGCTCTACAGCATACTTCCTATTATTTAGAAGGAGTACTGCTTGCAACGTTGCAAGATGAGGGGTTTAGTTTTTAAGTCATCCTTTGGTGATGATTTTTTTTCTTTTTTTCTTTTCATTCTGGCTTCTATTAAACAAAATCTGTAAATTTATTCAAGCATACTTTTTGAGGACCAGTTATACCATGCCTTAGTGTATGAATGCACTTTCATGAAGCAGTAAAAACTAAAATACTACAAAGCAGATTGTGTGTATT